CTTTAACTTTTTTAAAATAAATTTCACACAAGTTAAGTGGGCAGTACAACAGAGTTCCACCAAAAAAATGATGCATTGCATTGCTCTTAGTAGTTTACTTTAGATTAATACTATTTTAAAATAATTTTAACACAAATTGTACGGGTAGCATGACATAGTGCCACCAACAAAATGATAAATTACATTGCCCTATGCAGTAATTTAGATTAATTTAAAAACCCATATATTTAGTAGAAATTGTATTGAATAAATTAGCTATACACCACTGAGTGACTAATTCATTGCTGTAGGATAGTCACAAGTTACTTTAAAGGATTTAAGACTACTTTAATTAATTATCATACATAGAAAATGTAAGTCTACCAAAATCTATTAATTTACTCCTCAATGTTTTTTTCACCTAAAAAAACTCAAAGTAGACCATAAAGCATGGTTAGAGATATAAAGTACATATTTAGAGAGAGAAAATATGATATAGTGATATTATAGTTGGAAGATATGTATGTAGTTAGAGAGAGAACTTAGAGAGAGAAAACATACGATTAGAAACTAAAAGGACTTACGGTTAAAGAATTAATATAGATTGGATTAATATCACGTGCGGAGCACGTGCACTCTGCTAGTTAACCTGAAAGGACCCGTGTGATCTAGCCGGAGTATACAATAATTTTTTTATTTCTTTTTCAATTCTTTTTCTTTTCTTCAGTCTCTAGATCACTCAAAAGAAGTCCTTTTACAATATAACAACTTCAAATAAAATAAAGAAAAGAATACAATAGGATCTCAAGAACTTTAAGCCATTCAAAACAACATTTTTCATTAACAAAGAAAAGACACAACCTATGCTTGAAAATAAATGATATAATAAATAAATATGAAAAAAACAAAAGAGCGTGCCGGAGATTACCTCAACCGAGCTTTTTATACCCCACACCAAGTCACTATCTTCTGATGGCGCAGGATCTAATGGTCAACCTTCAATATCAATCGGGAAAGCAAGTTTAGACAAGCCACATCAATGTAACATGAACCCCTTCGATCACAAACTCAAACCCTAGGTAAATTTTCTTAGCAACCTAATTTGAGAGAGATAGATTCTCTTTTTGCTATACCCTAAAACCCTTAACCATAAATCCAAAGTTTGAGAGATAAGAGAGAGAGGAAGTCAATAGAGCATGAAAAGTGTGAGCCCCCCTTAGGCTGTTATGAGAGAAGAGAGAGATCTCAAAGATGATAGAGTAGGGCGCGTCCCCCCCCTTTAGGGCTTTCAAGAGAGAGTGAGTGAGAATTTCTATTGAAGAGAGAGATATTCTAAGTAGAGTGTCCCCCCTTTGGTAGGTTAAGAGAGAGAGGGATGTAAACTATGTGTAAAAGATAAGGTATAAAGATTTAGGTAGTGATCAATCCATTTTTATAGTGCTTGACCAAGATTAGGGTTTTTTAATGTTTTCCTTAGCTTGCCTCTCATATGAATTGAACATGCACCATTGATCTTAGGTGACTTGTGCAGTGAGAGATATGAGCAATCATCCTTTTGAGTATTGAAATAGACTAAAAAAAAATACAAAATAGTACTTAGTTTTATCCCAAAATCACACATTTTAGTGGGTCTATGATTTAGTGACATTCACGTCACAATATAATATCTCAGCAGAAAATCAGGTTACGCACCTCTCAATAAAATAATTGTTTCTCTCAATTCACAAAAGATTTCTTCCTGAAATATTTTATGTTGGAAATTAGACTCAAAATCAAAGCATAACAACATGGTTTGAATCCTAAATAATATTTTTCTTCATAGAAATAACTAAGTGACATTCACGTCACAAAGTAAATCATACTGCAGAATTTTAGAATAAACATTATCTAGTAAATTTGTATTTTCTCTCTACCCTCAAGGAATTTTCCTTTCAAACTAATTTTGTTTGAAAGTAGATACATAATGTTAATACATATGTTTCTACAATCCTCATATCACTCTGTTAAGTAGGCTTGATAAATATAGATATTCGCATTTCAAGGAAAACATACCAAACTGCAAAAAATTCAGGATGACGTATCTTCAATCCAAAATTTTTATTCATCTCTTCCTATAGATATTTCTTCCTCAAAGAAATTTTATTAGAAATTAGACTCAAAATGAAAGGTTTCAAACGTAGTGTAGGCTATAAAACATTCTGTTAAGAATGGAAACAAAATCAGGACTTCCAAGTTATTGAAATAGTTTTCATTGCAGAAAACAACACTTGTCTACCCTTCAATAAATTGATAATATCTTTTAAACCAAAAGGAATGTTTTGATGAAATTATTTGTATTTGAAAGTAAACTAAATTTGATGAATTATAGTCAAATTTACGCTAAAAATAAATATGACTGGAAGAAAAATTCACAGAACTCAATAGACAGTTCCTGGATTTTGCTGGGTCTGAACTGACACCCTATATTGATGAGTCCATAACTCTCAATTCCCTTAATATCTCCCACTGAAAGTTTATAGGTAGATTCTACTATAAAAAAAACATAATATTATTGAAGTATTCAATAGAAAAATAGCTCATTATCTTCATCATAGCACTGCTGCAGTACAACACAGAATACTCATTCTGCAGAGTGCCTTTTTTGGTGTTTGAATATTCCAATAATTCTTAACCGGAGGTGTACTACTTAACCATAAAGGTCATTAACTTTATTATATCTCATTCCCAAGCTAGATGTAGACTCAAATAAAGAAAAAAAACTATTAAAGGCAGCAAATATCAATAGTTCTAATAACAATAAAAGAATGACCCGTGTGATCTAGCCGGAGTATACAATAATTTTTTTCCTTTTTTTTTCAATTCTTTTTATTTTCTTCACAGTCTAGATCAATCACAAGAAGTCCTTTTTACAATATAACAACTTCAAATAAAATAAAATAAAGAATATACTAGGATCTCAAGAAGTTGAAGCCATTCAAAACAACATTTTTCATTAACAAAGAAAAGACACAACCTAAACTTAGAAATAAAAGATATAATAAATAACTATGGAAGAAACAAAGGAGGGTGTCGGAGATTACTTCAACCGGGATTCTTACACCCCACACCGAGTCACCACCTCCGATGGCGTGGGATCTAATGGTCACCGAGTCACCACCTTTCAATGGCGTGGGATCTAATAGTCGACCTTCAATCTCAACTGGGAAAACAAGTCTAGACAAGCCACACCAATAGAATATGAACTCATTTGATCACAAACTCAAACCCTTAGCAACCTAGTTTGAAAGATATAGATTCTCTTTTTGCTATACCCTAAAACCCTTAGCTATTAATCCAAAGTTTGACAAGTGAGAGAGAGAAGAAGTAAAAAAAGCATGAGAAGTGTGTGCCCCCCTTAGGGTTTCATGAGAGGGGAGAGAGACATCAAAGATAAGATAGGGGTGCCCCCCTTTTAGGGCTTTCAAGAGAGAGAGAGAGAGATAAATTTTTTATTGGAGAGAGAGATATTCTAAGTGGGGTGTGCCCCCTTTGGTTGGTTAAGAGAGATGGATGTAAACTGTATAAGAGATAAGGTGTAGAGATTTGGGTAGAGATCAATCCTTTTTTATAGTGCTTGAACAATATTAGGGTTTTTTAGGGTTTTCCTTAGCTTGTCTATCATGTGAGATTGAACATGCATCATTGATGTTGGGTGAGAGATATGACCCTTCCATTCCATAAATGGGTCATCAACAACATGTGGAAGGTGCTAAAACTATTATCCTCCACTTCCTAACCATTTTCCCATCAATTAATTCAACTAAGCAATTAATATATAATAATATTATTCTTTTTTATTTTATGCTCAAGTCTTCTCACACATACTAAAAATGTGCACATTCTCTGGTATAAAGTTGGAATCTGAGGTAAACTTTTTTCTTCCTTGAAACCCCCAATTATTTAATGGAAAAATATATAAAGAGACTATTTATGTTTTGTACAATAAGGTCAGTTACTCTTGTCCATCGTATTTAAAATCGAATGGTTATAAGAGTATCATTGACTAGATTCAAAATTCAAAAAAAAATAATCTTGAACTTCCTGATATATCCCAAGTCATCCAATTTGATATCTAATTATTAGAAGTAATTGTGATCTCAAGTCATACAATTTGACATCCAATGATTAAAAGTAATTGTAACCTCCTTGTCTCAAAGATAAATGGCATTATAGTATACACTCCCTTATTTTTAATGAAAAAAACTTGTATAAGGCTGATGCTCTAAACAAATCAATTTAGGGCGCACCTCATAAATTCACTAAAAGTGGTTGTTTTGAAGCCCAAAAATCTTCAAATTGACCTTCTTAACCTCAAGATGTATAGACATGAGAAAAAATGGGTTTCAAGTCTTAGAAATAATGCATCTTGTAATGCATTTTCAGACCATCAATTTTAAAATTTTCAAGTATTTGTAGATCTGCTCGATCTACACTATTTTTGAAGTTTTAAATTTTAAAATTAAATAAAAATAAACTTTCAAAGTCATTACAAAGATTTTTAGTATTGAGACGCAAACTATTTGAGGATGTGCCTTATTTTAATGGTTCAGAGCTTAGGCCTTATACCAACCACACCCTTATTTAATTTGTGAGATAGGAAACCTAAAGAGAGAGAGAGAGGAGGGAGGGAGAGGGAGCAGGTTCTTTCATTTGGAAAGTAGAAACTGTAAGAAGGCCATCAAAAACGAGAACGTGAAGTGGATGTCACCGTCATTTTCATAAAACATCATGGCATCTTCCTCTGGTATCCGGCCCCTAATCGATCAAAGGGTCCCACACCCTCGGGTTCCACATACGTAAAGCCCCTTGACACGTGGCCGCGACACCGACGTAAACCAGTTAATCTGATAGCTCAATTTCCTACGTGGCATTTCCCAAGAAAAAATAGAAAACAATAAAAAATAAAAAATGGAGAAGGCCTAGCCCCCGTGTGGTTAATCCTAGGGATTAATTAATTAATATTTCATTTCACTGCAATTTAATTACCTGTAGCGTCCGTTGTGTTCCCTCTCTCTCTTTCCCTATAGCTCCCGTTTGGCCAGTTCTCTTCTCCCCTTTCTCTCTGCAAAATGGGCTTGGATTGGCCATTAACCCTTGTCTAAGCCGCCTTGAATGGATGCTTCTATTCAATCTGAGATCGAGGACCTTTGAATCTCTGAAAAAGGTGGAGTATTTGCCTGTGTTTCATTGGTTCTTGGAGCTCCTGGGAGTATCAGATTCGAAGCCCTAATTTCGGCCATTCTTTGCCAGAAAGTGTTAAGTTAGAGTTACATTTGTACTGTTAGTGGAGATTTGTGGAGTTTTAATGAAATTGCTGGGGACAATCGTGGAGTTTTGAATGTTTGAAGGTGGAAAGGGCAGTCACAGGTGGAAAACAGGGAGAGATTATTGGATTAGGGTTTCTGACTCTCATTTTGTGGCTAGAAGACCTTTATTTTGATTACGAGGTAAATGCACGGTGTTTTTGTTTTTGGTCATGATCTTTGGTAATGGGTTGATTTCCGTAGAAGATTGGGATTGCTTTCAGTTGGTAATCTAGGGCTTCGACGTTACTGGATGTGATTAGGGAACCTGAATCACTGTCGTCAAATTCTTTTGAATTCATTGATTTTTTGGAGGTTGGGCGAGCTGTGATATTTGATTAAGGTTTGGTATAGATTCCTGTTAGGGAATTTCTCGTTCTGGTTTTGTAGCTAAAGTAAAGCGATTTCAGTTATTATTCAGAGAACTTGCCATAAAGAACTCAAATGGGCAGGGTTTTGGCTTTGTCTCAATGAGATGATATTTCTTAGGAATTCAGCTTAGTCAAGTTTATGGGGTGAGAAGAATTGATGGGCTGCACCATTACAAGGCTAGATTCTGTAGTTTATAGGGAAGAGAAATTCTGTTCTTGGTTTCAAGCTTCTTTATTGGGGAGACAGGTAGGTGAATGGAAGGCTTTCAATTGCACAAAGTGATGTTTGGGTTGGCAAATCACTGGTATTACAAGCCTTTCATGAAGCCTTCGCTTATACAAAGAGGCTTTGCTTTGGCGAGGTTTGGTGTGTGATTTCATAAGGTCGATGACAGATCTTCCCAGGAATGGCCCTGTCGAAAGGGATATTGAGCAGGTGAATTTCTTTACTTCTACTTGATCTTATTTCTGTGTTGAAATCTCTGGCTTTATGCAATATTTGATTTGATTCTGTTTTCTTATCTGTTACTGACCAAATCTCTAATATCATTTACTGTACAAGAACATCTTATATGATTGTTATATTGTGTAAGATAACCATAATTTGCTTCTATTAACTTTGTTTATAATTATACGGAGTGAATTGTCATGCAATTTGTAATTATAGTGATTTGGATATGATATCATGATAACTGGTATAATCACATGGGAAGCCACTGATTTTTTATGCATTGTTGATGACCTAGATGCTATGAGTTTTAGTGCTACTCTAGAATTTTGAAATCTTAGTCATGTTGGTATTCCTACACTGGCAATGCTCCAATCTACTTGCCGTGACATTGATTAGAATTTGGGTTGGGAGTTTTCTTAAACTATCCAGCTGTTAGTTGCTTACTATTGGTTGCCTAGTATTGATTACCTACTAGAATTTGTATATTGGGCCGATAATCAAGGAAAATTGAGAGATTAAGGAAGATGTCACACAAAGATTTAGAGCTGGGTAGGCACAGTGGAGATGTGCAACTAGAATTTTTTGTGATCGCCGCATACTAATGAAGCTGAAGGGTAAATTCTACAGGACAACTGTGAGATCAGTTTTTCTCTATGGGACAAAATGTTGGGCAGACAAAAAATAATATATCCACTGAATGAGTGTAGTGGAGATGAGGATGTTGAATGGATGAGTGGCAAGACAAGAAGAGATGGAATTCGAAATTATTCTATTTGGTAAAATTTAGGTGTGGTACCAATAGGCAATAAGATGAGAAATAGTAGACTTAGGTGGGCTGGCCATGTATGGCACTGACCCAGTACAACACTTGTGAGGAGGTGCCAGTTAGTTCAAGTGAATAGCTTGAAAAGAGCAAGGGATAGGTCCAAAAGAACGTGGTTGGAAGTAGTCCGAAAATATATGGGACTTATGGCTTCATTGAGGGTATGACCTTTAATAGAGCAATATGGCAGACCAGGATTCATAGAGCCGGCCCCAATTAATTGGGAAAAGGCTATGAAGATGATGATGATGATAATATGTTCCATTATTAATGGGGGCTGTTAGGAATGGGCCTGAGGCTTGGGTGGTCGGAGTGGCGGAGCCATAATGTGACATTACCGGTTTTACCCAATCATAGTTGATCCATTATTAATGGGGGCTGTTAGGAATAGGCCCGAGGCTTGGACGGTTTGGGTGGCGGAGCCATAGTGTGAGTTGGTTTCATTCCTAATTAACATACCCAATAACAACATGTCACAACAACAACAACAATTTAGTATTATATTGTTGTTTATTCTTTTATTGTTACTATTATTATTATTATGGGGTTGTTGTAGTAGTGACTACATTGACCATGAAAATGTAGTTTTTTTCTTAACTTAATATCCAAAAGAATGATATCATTTCTAGCAGTTAGTTGGTAGTGTGAGTATGGCATATAGGTGACTCACATAAGGTGTAATCATTGTTGCTGTTCTTTTCTTCTTTAAGATGTATCTTATATTGGTTGTTGCATTATTCTGGTTGTTTATATTTATAGAAAAAAGGTCGATAAAGAGAAAAGGAAAGTTTTGCCATCCTAGTGATTATTGGCAACCTTCCAATGTCTAGTTGGAGCGCATTTGCATGCGAGTATGTTGATGTGGCTCTTTGTACACACAGCTATTTGTTGGACTCAGAAAATCGTGTCGTTGAACTATTTAATACTAATTGGTTGCATATTTAGGGATTAGAATTCAACTGTATCATTGGATTGAATTATTTTTTGGGAAAATATCTCCATATCCCCTATTTAAGGTTTCATTTCTTGATAAAACCAAGGTTTCAAAAGATATCTTTTAACCCCCTGGCCTCTTTAAACCTATTTTTTAACCTAAACAAATGTGAGAAAGACATGCTCTTTCTAAACCCAATTATTCCTCTCTCTTTCACTTATATACCCAAACTTCTCTCTTTCTCTCTCTTCCTGCGTCTCTGACTCTCTCTCTCCTCTCATGTTTCTCCAAGCACCTCTCTCTCTCCTCCCGACAACCTCTCACCTCTATGAAGCCCTTCTCTCTCTCTAGAAGTTTGGGAGGATGGCTTTTAGAAAAGGTATGTCTTTTAAGATTTGTTTGGCTTAAAAAAACACGTTTAAATTAGCTCAGGGGTTAGAAGAAATAAAATCTATAATTTTTATTCCCCAAGATATCTTTTAAAACCTTGGGTCTATTGTGAAATAAAACCTAAAAATAAGGGGTATGGAGATATTTTTCCTTATTTTTTTAATCTAGTACTGTCACTTTTCCTTTGGTTGATTCAAGGTTATAGTCATACTCTATAATTTTCCCGTTCTCTCTGTAAAAATAGCACAGAAAACCTATAATATGGCATCTTTGATGAATCAATATGTTGAGATCTTGATACTGATGTGAGTATGGAGGCAATGTGCATTTCAAAGTTCAGCTGTCGAGTAGAGACTGAAAACATTCAATACATTTTGTTGATGCGCCATTTCTTTGTTCTCACTGTTGGGATTTCATATCAAAGTTTTACTGAGCTTGTGGTTTTTGCTGCCATTATCTGTATATGCAGGCAATTACAGCTCTCAAGAAAGGAGCATATTTACTCAAGTATGGACGCAGAGGGAAGCCAAAGTTTTGCCCTTTTAGGCTCGCTAATGTGAGTCACATTGCATGCTTATTGACTGAAACTTGGGTCCTTGAGATATTATTATTTGCTTCTTCTTCCCAGTTAAGCTCTGTCATATGCTCAGAAGTTTTTGAGCATACTAAGACAAACCAGTCATATTGTATTAGTGTTCTTTAGGTTTGAACTAGAAGATATTCTGTTGCATGAGTCATGGGAGTCTGAGGTGTTTGTCCATGGATTTCTGAATGACTTATTCATAACAAAAAGAGTAAGGAGAAAGAACACTTTTGAATTGGTACTTTCTTGTGTTTTCAAGAGAGTGAAGTGAAATCTCAATAAGATATTTTTAGACCAGTCATGCTTCATCTTGTTATGGCAACTCTAGTCAGTAGTTGAAATTTTTCACTGAAATGAACATAAGATTATGTAGACATACTAGAAGTACGAGAAGGGAAGCATAGTTACTTGAATCTAGAAAGCAACTTCCATGCTAGGTTTCATTTAATTAGCTGTAGATTTTTTTTTCCTTTTCCTTTTTTGTCTTGTTCTGATAGTGCATTCATTTTACTTTTTGACTTTAAGATTGAATCCATATCCCTCATGGAAGGCAATAAAATGGATTTTATGGACCAAGCTCTTTGAAATTGATATGCTGTAAAATGCAAATGAATAGCAGATCGACAGCAAATAGCCTTTTTAAAAACTTTTGATACAAGCAATAAATAGTAGATGAAGATATCTCTGATAAAGCAACCATGTGCTAGCATCTGCTGGTTATTAGTATTTAACCTGGAAATGTCATTTACCTGAATAAATACTGTCATTTGACTTGTCAAGTAGTTAAAAAGAAAACCTATCAACTTGGACAAGCCTCTATCATTCCTGATAAGCACCTTGTCAAGTAGTAAAAAAAAACTATTAACTTTGACAGGTCTTTGAGAATTCCTGATAGAAAAGTACAAACTGGAGCTGTCTTTAAGTTTGGCAGGGAAACAACTCAAATGTTTTTGTTTCTCTTGTTTCAGAACTTAGTAGATGTTTTATTTTTATCTTTATTTTTTTTAAGTTTGAGAGATAGAGAGGAAGTGTCAAAGATGATATCTAACACACACCTGCATTCCTCTGAAATTCCCTTACTATAAATATGATCTTCATTTAATGTGAAGCAGATAGGAGAACCTAGATTTACCATATTATTCTAAGGTTCAGTTAGAATCGTTTAGTATGACCATGTGTTTGCATATTCTTGCCCTCCACTGCAGGAAGAAATAAGGTAACTTTAGATAGACTATTTTTATTGGACTTTCCTATTTGAGGATTGTTTAGTTAGGCTCATAAACATTGCATGGACTTATTCATCTGAATCTCCTGGTTCATGCCTTATTCATAACGGAGCATCTACTCTTGTCTCCAGAATCTTACATTTTGTTATTGTTCATCTGCCGTCTTTGTATTAATATTCTGATAGTGAAGTTGTGCTCTTAACATCAGTACTTTCGGGTGAGATTTTTTTTTTGCAGGATGAGTCTATACTGCTCTGGTATTCTGGTAAAGAGGAGAAACAACTTAAACTTAGCCAAGTCTCAAGAATCATACCGGGACAACGTACTGTAAGTTTGTGATTCAAAGTGGTTTTTTTTTTACTAGACCTGCTTGGTGTTGCTTGGATTATCATCCCAGAATTTCTTTTATGATCTGTTACCTTATAATCTTTCGCTATGAGAAAACAAGCTGTATGAGTGCCTTCTGGCTGTTAAGCATGTAAGTTACGTCTTGCATTACAGGGTACTGTTCCATGAATCAAATGCTTTAGAAGTTTCACTCGAAGCAAGATGACAGGTTAAGAGATCATAATCATATGCTTCAAATGAATCCTGCATTGACATTTTATAACCATAATGAGTATAGTTTATTGTGATTTGCTGAAATTTGAATTGTACATATTGAAATTGTACATGACTTCCCCCAACATTCAACTGTAACCGAGTACAATTTGTGGAAGTCATGCTTCTCATTAGCTATCAGTCCTTAATTATTGGAATTCTCTAGCAGTTCCTCTTTGGAATTTTACTTCCTAAGTGACTCACTCTGGTAATAGAGATGTGATAGTTTGTTAGCATCGCCTCTAATTTTTCTTGGTTTCTTGGGGGCTTCCATGAGGTTGTTCTCCAGAACTGTTCTTTGTCCTCTATTATGCAGTCCGTGTCTTTTGCAAAATCATTTGCTCTGAAGCTGAGCCTTGTATGTTATCAAGCCTATCAATATTTGGAGGATAGTGTGTCCTTTGAAGGATGTCAGAGGAAGAACTTAGTAAGTGATTGGTCTATGATGTAAATGAACCTTGCTTCTATGTATTAGCTATTTCAGAAACCATCCTATCTGTCGAATCCATTTTGTCTGTAGATTAATGAAATAGTTACTCCGTTGCCTATATATAAGATTTTATGATAAGATAATAGAGTTGAGAGTCAAACAAGCAACTGTATTTCTTCATATTGATTTATTTAATTTATATTTTGTGGATTACCAGGTGTGTCTCTATTTCTCTGTTTTGAATTCATAAGGTGGTGAGAAGTAGCAATATGGGAGCTTCTATGATCTGAGCAAAGTAGTCCATGTTGTTACAAAGTAGCATGATGATACTCCAAGAATATTATTCTATATTTGTATTATTTCAATTCCTCGTAGAGACATAATATTTCAATCCAAGCTTATCCCTAAAACGTATCTTTCATCTTACTTGTTAATGTTCTTTAATATATTCCTAGTATTAACAGGCTTGAGAAACTAATAAGTGATGCACAGCATGACCTTTGGGTTTCTGTCGTTTTAGGCAATATTTCAGCGATATCCAAGGCCTGAGAAGGAATACCAATCGTTTTCTCTTATATACAATGATAGGTCTTTGGATTTGGTGAGTGTTTTATCCGGTGGTATCAATTCCTTGGACTCTTGTCTCCTAGAAAGTGTGATGTTTGGACACCCATTATTACATGTCTCTTACATCCCATGTATTGTTCTCAGTTGACAAGTAGCCTGACTATGAACAGATCTGCAAGGACAAAGATGAAGCTGAAGTCTGGTTTGTTGGCTTGAAGGCCTTAATTTCCCGTGGTACTCACCGGAAATGGAGAATAGAATCAAGAAGTGACAGAGCTTCATCAGATACGAACAGTCCAAGTACCTATACTCGAAGGAATTCCCCATTAGGCTCTCCATATGTAAACAATGTTTTCTTTCGAATACATACTTAATTTGACAGCTCTGGATTCTTCGGTTATTATTGTTATGCTTCCAGATCTAACTTTTGCTTGTTGCATTCTTTGGTGGCACCAGGATGTTGGTGACAATCAATCTGGCCAGAGCCCATATGATAGCCCTCCACGCAATGGAATTGGAAAGGCATTTTCTGATGTGATATTATTCACTGCTCCTCCAATTGCCAATTTGGTTATACCATTCCCATCAGGAAGTGGTGATAATTCAAATGGACACATGCGAATTAGTGCCGCGGATAATTTTAGAGTAAGTCTTTCTAGTGTGGTGAGCTCATCAAGTCAAGGTTCTGGTCATGAAGATTTTGATGCATTAGGTGATGTTTTCCTTTGGGGAGAGGCCACAGGTGAAGGCTTGCTAGGTGGTGGCATACAGAGGCTTGGTAGTTCCTCAGGTGCCAAGATGGATTCTCTTTTACCCAAAGCCTTGGAATCAGCAGTTGTTCTTGATGTTCATAATATAGCTTGTGGAAGTAGACATGCTACACTAGTCACAAAGCAAGGGGAGGTTTTTTCTTGGGGAGAGGAATCTGGAGGTAGGCTTGGTCATGGAATAGAAGCTGACGTTGCCCAGCCAAAGCTGGTTGATGCTCTTAGTGGCATGAATGTTGAACTTGTAGCATGTGGGGAATATCATACATGTGCTGTAACAATGGCTGGAGATCTATACACATGGGGTGATGGTACTCACAATTTTGGGCTACTTGGACACGGTACTGAGGTTAGTCATTGGGTCCCAAAAAGAGTAAGTGGTCCATTAGAGGGTATACATGTATCATCTATATCTTGTGGGCCTTGGCATACAGCTGTTGTGACATCTGCAGGTCAGTTGTTTACCTTTGGTGATGGGACTTTTGGTGCTCTTGGTCATGGAGATCGTGCATGTACAAGCACACCTAGAGAAGTGGAATCTCTAAAGGGGCTACGTACAATGCGAGTAGCCTGTGGTGTTTGGCACACTGCTGCAATTGTCGAAATTATAGTTGGTTCTTCTAGTTCTAGTAACACTTCATCTGGAAAACTCTTCACTTGGGGAGATGGGGACAAAGGCCGGCTTGGACATGGTGATAAGGAGCCTAAAGTTATCCCTACATGTGTTGCTTCTCTTGTTGAGCCAAACTTTTGCCAAGTAGCTTGTGGTCATAGCCTGACAATTGCCCTAACAACCTCAGGGCGTGTATACACAATGGGTAGCACTGTTTATGGTCAGCTCGGAAATCCCCATGCAGATGGAAAGCTTCCCACTTGTGTTGAAGGCAAGATTCGCAATAGTTTTGTTGAAGAAATAACCTGTGGTGCTTATCATGTTGCAGTTTTGACCTCAAGAACTGAAGTTTACACTTGGGGAAAAGGAGCGAATGGGCGATTAGGTCATGGAGATACTGATGATAGAAATACCCCAACACTTGTTGAGGCTTTGAGAGACAAGCAAGTTAAGAGTGTTGTGTGCGGCTCCAATTTTACTGCAGTTATCTGTCTCCATAAATGGGTTTCCTGTGCCGATCAATCCATCTGCTCTGGTTGCCACCTTCCTTTTGGCTTTAGAAGGAAACGACATAACTGCTATAACTGTGGTTTGGTATTTTGTAATGCCTGCAGTGGTAAAAAATCTCTAAAAGCTTCATTGGCTCCAAATATCAATAAACCTTATCGCGTCTGTGACGACTGTTATCTGAAACTCAAGAAGGCTATAGAGGCTGGTTCAGTTTCTCGATTTGCAGGAAACAGGAGTGGGAGTTTGAACCATAGGTCATATGAGGCACCAGAAAATGGTCCTCTAGATTCCAAATCTCATGCACAACTCTCAAGGCTCTCTTCAATGGAATCATTCAAGCATGTCGAAGGCAGATCTGTATCCAAGCGCAACAGGAAATTAGAGTCCAATAGTAATCGTGTCTCACCCATTCCAAATGGAAACAATCAGTGGGAGAGTGTAACTTTTTCAAGGTCTTTAAATCCTGTATTTGGTTCATCAAAGAAAATCTTTTCAGCTTCTGTTCCTGGTTCAAGAATTGTTTCTCGGGCGACATCCCCTGTCTCAAGAAGACCAAGCCCCCCGCGTTCCACAACACCGACACCAACTATGTCTGGGCTTGCTTCTCCTAGAGCCGTTGTGGAAGGTGCAAAACAAACAAATGATAGCTTAAGCCAAGAAGTTGTGAAATTGAGGGTTCAGGTTAGTAGTATCTAATGGATGTGTATTAGCATTATTGTTTCGGTTGCTTTTGGTATATGGCTTGGGCACACTTACAAAATCTATTGTAAAAATTTCCATGTTCTTAGTTTTTTTTTTTCTATACTCAGGGAATGTTTGGATGCACTTGTTATCATTGATAATTCACTTTTTCATTAAAATTACTCCTGATAATGAATTATATGTTGTTTGGCAATGTCCATCATAAAGTTATCCAAAATAAACTTATAGGTAGTTTTGCATATAAGTTAATCTTTTTGAGAAGTTGTTTTTTACTTTGTTCATAGTAATTTGTTCCAAATCACATGTTTTTGCTAGAAATAGCTAGAAATAGCTAAAAATAGCAAGATATAGTTTAAAAAATTAAACGATTAAGTAGTACTATGCATCATTAATTTTAGATTTAAATTTAACATTATCAAAAAAATACATAATTTTAGATAAGATAGGCTACTTCATATAAAATGAATTGTCATCCAAACATGCCCTTAGTCTTAAAGATCTATGTTTTTTAACCTTAGACTCGACTTGGACCTTGACCAGGTCACAAGCAAAGTCTAGACCAAGCCGAGTTTATTAATAGATGAAGACAAGAAGGTGAAACTCAGGTAATTACCATAAAGCTCGTGGAGCTCGCCATGTTGCCAAGCCAAGTTGACAGGCGGGTCTCAAAACACTGCTAGAAATGAAATAAGGCTAGGTATAAAACTGTTATGGAATCTAGACAACAAATTATGGGGTTTGAAAGGTTCCAATTGAATCATCTATTGTTTCTTTTTTTGAAGTGTTAAGTCATATAAATGTCTTAAATGTAAATGTACTGCTCTATGTTTATATTGGCTGTCCAAAATGGTCAAAAGATTAGACAAATTTACAAGAAACAACGAAAGCTAATCTCAAAACAACAAAACTCTGACCTGTTAGGACTTAGGACTAGGAACAGCTAACTACAAAATTTGAGGCCACTACCCCTTCCTTGGCAAGAGAGTCAGCCAGGTCGATTGACTCTCTTCAAATGCACCGAAAAGAATTTTGGTGGTGTTAGTCTAAAAAGAAATTTGGATGGTGTTTGCAATCTCTGTAATATGCTTAAACACTTGTTCAAGGCATCATGGACAAACTGAGCTTCCACTAGCCGGTTGATTGTGTTTTTTGACTCTCCATAATGATGAGGGAGTAACCCCACAATCTATTGAAACATTTGGGGCCTTCAAGCAGAGCTAAGGCCTCTGCTGTGGTCAATGTAGAAAATTCTATGGAGCCTTGGAAGGTGAGCAGCGGGGATGCCAAATGGTCCTTGACGATGCCCCCTATGTCCAAGGGTCCCGTGTTCCCAAAAAAGACACATTGAAATTTAGTTCAACAGTTCCGACATCGGTGGGACCGCCAAAGGGAGGATGTTGGGATCCACATCGGAGTAGACCACAAGGCTTCATATTGATTCAGGGTGAATTCCCTCTCTCATCATCATCATCATCATCATCATCACAGCCTTTTCCCAACTATTTGGGATCGGCTATATAAATCCTAGTCCACTGTCCCGCTCTATTAAGGGCCATACTTTTAGTGACGCTATAAGTTACCATATATTTTCTCAGTACTTCCAACCATGTCTTTTTGGGCCTTGTCCTTTTTTAGCCTTCCACTTGAACCAATCTCCCGATCATGCGAAAATAGATCACTCTCCCGATCATGAGAAAATAAATCACTCTCCCGATCATATGAGGAACTAGATCACTCTCCCGACCGTGAGGCTCTCGACATAGAGCGTTGGCATGGAACGAGTTTTCCAAAATAGCATCCGACTCACTACCGTCATCATAGTGTGTCGAAGCTAGTTTTTGAGTCTAGCACAGGGTCAGCTCTTCTACTTGATTTCTCAAACCTTTGATATCTATCTCACGGAGAGCTCGGAGGTTTCGTTCTCGCTGGATGGGTTGAGTCCCGATACCCGGCCATAGACCTTGTCCACGAGCGTAGAATGAACCGTTGGCATAAATGAGGGCAGATGTCATAGATATATTTGTAGAATTAGGATATTGGAAGAAAAAGAAGCTTGAGAGATGATGAAAATAAGAAAGGCTTTAGGACAAGATGGTCTCTCGATAAAGAATTGGAAATGCATATGGGAGATTGACATTGAGTGGTTGACCAAGTTGTTACACAAGGTGTTCAATAACAATGACAATACCAAAAGAATTGAGGAAAAGTATTGTGGTACCAATTTACAAAAACAAAAGAGACATACAGAATTGTGCATACTATCGAGAAATCAAACTTATGAGCAGCATTATGAAGTTGTAGGAGACAGTGATTGAGCAACAGCTTAAGTATGAAACAAGTGTATCGGAAAACTAATTCGATTTTATGCTAGTCAGTTCAACAACCAAGCATATTTTCCTACTTGGACAACTGATTTAGAAGCTTAAAACAAATGGAGAAGATCTTTACATGGTCTTTATTGATCTAGAGACAACTTATGATAGAGCACCTAGAAATTTGATTTAGAGGGTGTTCGTAAAGAAATGAGTCTACAGACATCGACTTGGTGAAAAATATATACAAGAGAACGCTAACTAGTATACGAATAACTAATTGAGAAACGAGTGAATTTTCAGTGAGAATAGAATTGCATCCATGGCCATCATTGAACCTATACATCTTTGTCTTTGTTATGAACAACTTAGCTAGATATTTACAAGATAAGGTATCGTAGTGCATGTTATTTGCAGATGATATAGTTTTGATCGATGAGACCTAATATGACATCAACATAAAGTTAGAACTTTGAAGGGATGCTTTAAAATTTAAAGGTTAAAAATATTAGCCAGACAAAGACAGAGCACATGGAATTCAAGTTACTAATACTAAGAGTAGAGACTATAAGGAGTTAAGTTTCATGGCCAAGAAATATAAAAAAGGATGCTATCTCAATATACCAAATCGATAATCCAAGAAAATAGAGAGGTTGATGAAGATGATGCATATAGTATAGAACTGGGTAAGCAAAGTTGAGATGTACAATCGAAGTTTTATGTTACTGTCGTATATCAATGAAGCCAAAGGGCAAGGTCTATAGGAAGCTGTGAGACCAGCTTTACTTTATTGGGCAAAATGTTGGGCGATCAAAAAATAACATATTCAAAGAATGAGTATAATGGTGATGAGGATATTGAGATGAATGAGTATTAAGACAAGAAATGGTAGAATGCGAAATGAATACATTCAGGAGAATTTAGGTGTGGTACCAACAATAAAGATGAGAGAAAATAGACTTAAATGGGTTAGCCATGATCTGTTAAGAGATGTAAGTTAGTTCAAGTGGAATGCTAAAAAACAAGGGGTAGGCCCAAAAGGACATGGTTGGAAGTAATGAGAAAAAATATAAGGACTTATGGCCTCACTGAGGATATAGACCTTAATAGAGGAGAATGACAGACCAGAATTCATGTAGCGACCCCAATTAGTTGAGGAAAGGGTTTTATGATAATAATGATGATGATTTTTAAAATATATAATATTTTGATAATCTGACCTATTTTTTAATAAAAATTTTAACTTTTCCCCTTATGAAAATGACAAAAGTATCTATTATATTTTAGTGATATTTACACAAACATCCTTACTTGACGAACAAGATATCATAAAAAAATAACTTTTTTAAAAAAGATACCTCGTCTTTAGAAAATCAATTCATCACAACTCACTCTAACATTAACCTTTGTAATTTGAAAATATATTTTTGTCATTAGGAGGACGTGGCATCACCCATATGGGGCACACTGGTGGCATTCAATGCTCCATATGAGTGATGTCACACCCCATATAAATGATGTCATACTCCTCCTAATGATTAAAAAAGTACCCTTACTAAAAAAAACTCCATGTACAAAACAATGAGATATAAGTGTCCAAATTTTGTTGAGTACAATGATAAATTACTCTATAATATGAGCACATTAACATTAACAATATTTTGAGGTCCACCGAATTATAAAGCATGATGTAAAGAGCTCAAGTCTTTATAAAGACATCAAAAGAACTCAATTTTCTTCCTTTGATGAAACAAAAATAAAATTTACAATAATAATAATAATAATAATAATAATAATTTACAGCCACTTAAAATGTTATCTATAATACTGCGTAAATGTGTCCCAGGTTAAAAATTTCAAGCTTGCATTTTCTTCTTTTATTCAGAAATTGATGAAATTTAGTTGTATGTTAAAAAATATAGTCGTTTTATTTATTAATTTTAGATCTTATTTATAATCATCATCACCATCATCATCATTGTTATTAGGAAAATTATTCTTAGTCGGAAGACATATTTCTACATTTGCATCCCCTGAGGCATAAAGCATCAATTTTAAGGATGGATGCAAATGCATGGTCCATCTAAAAATACCTGTAAATTAACGGTCCAAATGTTTTCTTTATAAAATTATAATTTTTTATATTTAACAATTATTTAGTTTTTCATATTCATGATCCCCATGTTAGAGATTACTTGTCCTTAAAAATTTGGTCAAAAAATCCATCTCAAAATCGAGGCCAATCAGCGAACACCACGATCCACAAGAGTCGACTACGCTTTGATATCACCTGACGCAATATAAAATTTACTGGCAAAATAACAACGGAAAAATTAACCGCGTTTAAAAGAGAAATAAAAGGAAATCACAAGAAGAAAGAACAAAACGTGTGGATACGAGTATTACGGTACGGGCCCATAAACAAGAGAAGAAACAACACCCACAAAGGGCTCTCTCTCTCTCTCTATGATTTCAAAGATCAACTTTTTATCATTCATAAAATTCAAATCTTCCCCAATTACAAATCAGGTGCTCCTTTTAAAGGAGTTTTACATTCACCACCCTAAAGATAACTACTAAATGAAGATAGCTAACAAAATACTATGAATTATTCCATAACTAATGCAACTCCTACCCATGTTACCTTTCACAAAATAGGCCTTTCCTTTTATAACTACAAGATAACTACCTTGTCAAGATTTCCTAGTATCTCACGTCCCTATTATAGGGGATAAGCCTCCTTCAATTTACGTATCTCATTCTAGACATCCTAAAATATCTCCCTAAAAACAAAATATGATAATTAACCAAAATAAATCTCTCTCTAGATTCTTCCATATTCTTCCATCCAACTTCCTAAAAGATAATTACAACTCCTTACTTCATCCTTTACACCTACGTGACTCATTATCTTTCAACCCAACCCAAAAAGTTTACACTCCCTTTAAAATAGGAAACAAAATATATTTCCTAAAAACTAAAGATAAGCACCTTGTACCCCCAACTAATACAACAGATAAACTTAACTAAACGGGACCTCTATTCTTTCAAATAAAAGGTGAACGTAACCTAATATATCTAAAACTAACTCACGCAAGAAAATAAAGGAAACAAAAAATGGACTTATCAAAATAAACTAAAAAACTCGTACTAATCATATTTCTAAAGAAATTAACTCTAATAAAAATAAAAAGTCTACCCAACCTCTAAAAATAAAATTAAAAATTTGTAGCATCCAAATTTTGATTTGCATCACATAGACGCTTACAAGTGTGCTCTCAAAATTTATAGACGTGTAAGTTGTTAGGTATAGATTTACAAAAAATATTGATAAACACATAAACACTTGTCCATCTAAGGCGGCTGTTTATAAAAATATTGATAAATACATAGACACCTACAAGTGTGTTGTCAAAATTTCTATATGTGTAAGTTGTTAGATATAGATGGACTTATAACAAACAAATACTTACACGTGTGATGTTGTTTACAAAAATAGTGTGAGAAGTTTTTTAAGGCAGTTGTTTATAAAAATATTAATAATAAATACTTACATATGTGATGTCAAAGATACTATGACTTAACGTGTTGCGCCCCTCTACCCCTCTTCTTGCTCCTGGGCGCCTGCCTAGGCGGTGTCAAAGATACTATGATTTAATGTGTCGCGCCTCTTGCCCTCTCCTTGTTCCTGCCTAGGCAGCCAGGTGCCTCCCAATTTTTTAACCTTACACTCTCTAAACTCACCCATAGATCTAGGATCTCCACTCAGCCCTCAACAAAAGCCCTCGATTCGAGGAGATTACATGGCCAGGATCTTATAGGGGCTGTTTAATAAGCTAGTAGCTTTAAAGTCCTTCAGTTCAGCAGCTCTTTGTGACAAGAATGTTTAAGTTAAAGTCCAACGCTTTTGTATGGTTCCCTGGTGATAGAAATCTAAAGATAAGAATAACACACATACACTGGGGGCCAGAGTTCTTAGAACTTGTGAAAGGCTACAATAGGGAAACGCCCAGGCCTCATGCATTATGCTAACCAAGGTCCTTGATAGCCTGCCAAATTTAGGGCTCAGAAAAGTTCTTCTCAAGCCTATCACATGCTTTGGGGATAGGGTCCGAAACTGGAGGTTTGCAAAGCAACAAATTTGTTGATTTCAGAAGGGTCAATGTGGACTCCATTGCCATTCTAGAATTTGCATAATAGAATTTAATCTATTGTGGCTGTTAGCTATTTTTGTGATTCCCCCGTTTGAGCCACTTTGAACAAGCCCGTTCATACCAAAGGTTTGTTCCTGTTTCAGAACTTAGCTACAATCTGTCTTCGCTTCTACTATTCTGTTTCTCTCATCAAGGTTGAGGTCCCTTGATTCTTCCAGTATGTCCAACTCTTCTATAGTCCAGGATATGCTCACCTGCTTTTCTCTGAGACCTCTGAACTGGTGATAGCTCTGGCCTTTTAAGTTTGCCTTTCAGAAATCACAGCTTCCTGGTTAACCCAAAACCTGCCACCCCTGTACTGAGGAGGACCACCAACAAGGGATGAATCTACGGAGTACCACTAACAACAAGGGACCACCAATAATCATCTATTGTTTCTTGGAGATGGATATTCTATGCCTCAAGCCAATAGTGAATATGATACGAGAACTAGTGAAATACAAAAGCCACAGCTATACTTATCATCCATCAATTGGTGGAGTTGTTTACTTCCATGGTCCTTGTCTCTTTACACGATCATTTGTTAGGTTCTTCTGTTAAAATGAATCGAGTTTTGGCTACCTTTTAGAGGATTTTCCTGTTTGAGATATCCTTGTAAGTTTATTCAAAGAGTACCATGTTACTGAAGGCTACTGTATGAGCGTGCTTGCAAGTACCATTTGGCTTCTCAGTTAGGGTACCCTTCTTATTCTACACCAGACCAGACATATTCACTATGATGCTGCCTCAGAATAGACAAAACCTTCCTGTTTGGCACGCCAAGGGTAACCATATCCTCCTAAACCCTCTGTGTGGACGTATTTACTGGTAAACCCAAGAATGGTTATCATAGTGTTATAGAGGGTATATCTTCTTCTCCCTAATATAGCGGTAGATATCCTTTAACTCATTTTTAGTTTTTGAACTATCAAGTATTTGTGCTTTTTGAATCATAATATATTTGAATGTTGTAAATATCAGACACTAACATGACCATCCTGTGCTGCAGGTTGAGAATCTTACACGTAAATCTCAACTTCAAGAAGTTGAACTTGAAAAAGCCACGAAGGAACTGAAGGATGCCCAGGCACTAGCACGGGAAGAATCAGAAAAATGCAAGGCAGCGAAAGATGTAATCAAATCACTGACTGCACAGGTAAGTTTCTTTATTATGTGCTTCTCTTGTTCAGTCGTTTGTTGTTTCGCATCATGGGTTATATCCCTTTTTTTTATAATGTTAATTGTTGTATTGAGTATAAGAAGGTTACAAAAAGGTCGACAACCCACAAGTCGGGTGAGTGAGAGGAAAGCCCTTACGGGACAAAAGCTAAACAAGATTAACGCATAAGCCCAGAAAGAATAGAGGAGCAGGGCAAGAGAACAATCAAGGACTCAAGGATGCTCATCAAGGAGTTACCGAAGCCTTTTCTCTAACGAGGGCATCTGCAGTGGAATTTGCCTCCCTCCAGGTGTGTCTCCAGTGTATTTGTGGATCCGAACATCCATGGAAGATCTCGTCGAAGAGGTGGTCGAGTCTCCACGGGCACAGGGCTACTTTGGAGGCCAAAGAGATGACATTTGTGGAGTCTCCTTCTATGATCAAAGAATTTCCCCATTCCCTAATGAAGTGTCTGAGGCCAGCCAGGGGGGTCTCTGCCTCAGCCTGGTTGGAGTCGGCAAAGCCAATTGAGTGCACAAAGGAAAGAAGAGAGTGGCCAGCAATGTTGCTGAAGATATTACGTACTCCCAATGGGCCGGGTTGCGCAAGGAGAATCCATCGAAGTTCAACTTAATTTGGTCAAGGGCAGGAGGGGACCAGAAAGAAGCGGGAGATTTGAGAAGGCCTAAAGTAAAGGAGGGCCTTCTAATATTGATGGAAGTCTGTTAGAGAGAGGTGCTTGAAAGGTTTGGAGTTTGTTGCCCAAAAAATGACATGGGATCGCACCTTTTCCAGGAGGGTGTCAATGAGGGAAAATTCCCCCCTAAAAGTTCTTTGGTTCCTTTCCAACCAGAGGACCCAAAGGATTGCGGCTCTCTCCATAAGAGAATTTCAGATTTGTCCCAAGGGGGGGAATTTTTTTTTTTGGGGGGGAGGGGGAGGGGGAGGGGACAGGCCCCTACCCAGTTTTTCAAGTAGATTAGGAGTTAGCTTTTTGAAGGTATTAGTAGGGTGGTTTTAGTGGTGGGAATGGAAACCACAACGTGGTGACTAGGGTGTGGGAGTGCTTACCACCACGATCCCCGCTCCTTTCTCAAGGGGGGGAAAGTAGGAAGGGAATAGGTGAGGGATGGATTGCGGGGTGGCCCAATACCATCCGAAGAGCTTAAGAATGGAGTCCCAGAGACTAGAGGCGAGCTCACAATGCAAGGAAAGATGGGTTTCGACACATTATGCACCGATTGGGGATTGGCACACCTCTTCTTTCGAGCTGGTATACTGTTAAAACCCTCTCTTGGGTAGCAAGAACTGAATTCTTGGGGCCACCATGGATGTCCAAACTTTAGCTTCTGGAGATGGGAGGGAAAGGAGGGCCAAGGAAGGCCTATGAAGGGCCTTGAAGAAGGAGGACACCGAAAACACTATTGAGCAGAGAGGAGTCCAAACCATAGTTAGCAAATCGGTGTTTTAAACGCTATTCTTTGAAAAAATCTGACTTTTTTTAAAAAACGTTTTTAACTGTGAATTTTTCAAAAGAGCGTCAAAAAATCGCTTTTTTTTCATGAAGAAGTTTAATATGCGATTTTTTAATTTTTATAAGAAGTCGTTTAAAAAAAACGTTTCTATTAATAACCCTCCATGGTACACATAGAGAGAACCATGTGATAGAGAACATCTCATCAATGGGTACACAGAGAGAAAGATAACCATCTCAAAGAAATTAAGAAAAAACATAGATAAATAAGTTTCAAAAATCCCCAAATTGAACTACATCACAAATGCTTGATGGGTATGGAGATCGATAGATGTAGAGAGAGAAAAAAGAGAACCACTGTTTATAATGCAAGCTTTAGAGAAAGAGAATCACTGTTTATATTGAAGTATAGATTTAACATTAGCTTTGCAGAGAAAGAAATAGAGAGAGAGAGAGAGAGAGAGCAAGGGTACGGGGTGACCATGGATCTCTCAAAGGAACACAGAAGAGCAAACATGGTGAACTTCTTCTGAATCAAAATGGTGCTGTGTTTTTTAAGCAAATGGTGAACTTCTTATGAAGAAAATCAGATGGGAATGGTGCTGTATTTTTTAATCTTTTAATCTGATGGGTTGATCAGGTTTAGGGAAAAACCCTTTGTATGTTTTTCGTTAGTTTATTTTTCCTAATATGTTCTCTGAGCTATGCTAATTTGGGGATTTTTGAGTTATGTTAAAATTGGGAATTTTT